CATGGGGAATAGAGGTGGGGAACAGCACTGAGCCCAGCTGCACTGCTTGGAGCCATGTGGATCCAGGAGGGAGGAGGAAAGCCATGCTGCAATGTGCTCCCGCAGAGCATTTCACAAAAATCACCCAAGGCAATGCTCCTGCTCTCTTCTCCTGCAGGAGTACAGCACCATGGGGAGGGTGACCTCGTGGGTATTGTATAATCAGGAGGCTCAAGGAAACCCTCGGCCCCTCTCCTGGGTTTCTTCAGCAGAGTAGTGGAAGGGACCAACAGGCTCAGAGCCCCGTGTCTCTGGGGGCATCCTTTCTGCATGCAGTTTGTTTTTTTTTTGGCTTTTCAAAGACCCTCTGGAGTGAGAGTTGGAGGGACTCCATGGAGCAGGGCCTCCAGCACTGCCCTACCAAGAAGTAGATGAAGGGTTTGATGCTGCTGTGGATGCAGGCGAGCAGGTAAATAACCTGGGAGGGCACAGTGACGTAACCGAGCTCTGCAGGAAATTCCAGAGGTTGAAGAGAAGAGTGAGGAGCACAATGATGATGATAACGATGTTGCGCCTCTTGGGTTGTTGCTGCCGGGAACCCTGCTTGGACTTAATGAAATTGGGAGAAATGGCCACAGGTACAACAAAGAGGAGCAGGATGATGGTGTACATGGAGATGAGAGCTGCCCGGCAGTGCTCCTGCTGGTGTGATAGGCACAGGAATGTCACTGCAGGAATGACAGCAAAGAGAGCAAAGAAGGTCCAGACTGGGACACTGTCCAGGACCCACACCAGGCGCTTGGGAAGCTCGCAGCGGCAGTAGAGCTTGCAGAGCTTTTGCACAGACCGCACAGCTCTGCCGCCCATCAGCCAGAAGAGCCCCCAGTAGTAGGAGACCACTGACAGCTGGAAAAGGAAACTCACATGCAGCAGGGGCAGGATAGGAGAGCAGGACATGTCCTCCACCAGGAAGAGGAGCGCAGAGGGTACTGCAAAGAGGAGGAAGAGGAAGTCAATGACAGCCAGGTTAAAGAAGTCAGCATTCCTGATTTTCAGGCTGAGGAGGCCGATGACAGCCCCATTCCCAGCCAGCCCGCAGAGGCAGATGAGCAGTGTCACACTGTCTATGGCCACATCGGTGACATCTGTCTCACACAGATCATCTCCTTCAGTGGGTGAAGCAGGAGATGGGGACACGGTGGTCACCTCCATGGATGGACGCTGGGCAGGCAGTGGGATGTGGCCCCTGGCTGTGGTCAGAGTGGATGGTCAGTCAGTGCTTGGAGAATGCAGGGATGGACCATGTGGCTCCTCAGCAGCTTCCTGCAGTGGAAAGGATTCAGTGGGGAGGAGTGAGATGTGCAGGGAAGGAGGGCGGTGGAAATTGTGGGGTGGGAGATGGAGATGGGAGGGTTGGGCTGTTTGGCAGGAGGCTGATAAATAACACAGAAAATAATCATTTTCAGTTCTTCTGAAGTTCTTCAATACCAAAGTGGCAAAAATTTTAAAGGATGTGTTATAGATGGATATTGGGATGATTGGCTCTCACAGTTAAGGGATGAATACTGTGTGAATATTAAGAGAAGCTTTATTGATGTATGTTATTGCAGTCGTATGTTATTGCAGTCTTTATTTACATGTCCCCTGTTCTCCCCATAGTCCCCTTCTCTCCCCTCTGTACTGTTGCCATCAGAGATCCTGAGTCATCTAGGACAGGTAGAAAGAAGGGGTGTACAAAAGCTTGTTGCTGGGGGGGGAAGAGGTGCAGCATGAGAACACCTGACCCTCCAGTCAAGCTGCAGGAAAGCAGGCTCCAGCAATAAACACAAAGAAGGGCTGACTGACAGACTTTGGGAGGAGCCAGGTTTAGCTGATGCAACCCCTAGGGTATCAAAGGTGAAGCATCCATCTTGAAGATCAGCCAGCCACGTGGTGGGTAGCCATTGGGGAAGCTCCCAGGCCTGTTTCTCCTTATTTAATCTTTTTGTTGCAGTTTCTGTTAAGGTTCAATAAACCATTAAAAATTAAAATAAGTGGGTGGTTGTTTCTCACAAGATGTAAAGACTGGCACACAGGATGATAAACACGGCAGGAACCAGTGCAGAATCAGATAAGGAGGCCTGCAGTGACTTTGGGGCAAATTCTGGAACAAGAGGATACACTGCAAGGCTAGAGGAAAAGTTCAAGGCAAGGGCACCTTTAATATGACAGCATTCGTTGAATGTGACCACCAGAGAGACCCCTCTTAAAAAAACTCCTGGATCATAAAAGGACTTTCAGGAGGAGTTGGATGCATGGAAATGAGTTCTAGGAAAATGGTGTTTATGTGTTAGATAAGAAAAACTGTTAATGCCTACATGTGGTTCTAAGGGATTAATATCCTGTTGTAAAGTCTCCCCATAAACACAACACAAGGAGAGATCCCTCTGTGTCCTGTGCAGGTCAAGAATTCCTGCTTCCTCATGCTTTGCATTGTGTCAGAAAGCTTGTTCTGGCCCATTTCAGTATTAGGATACAGGCGGGATGCAGAGGAGGAGAGAGAGGAGCTGGGGAGGGCCCTGCGGTCACTGGGGAGGGTGTCAGGAACAGAGCAGCTGCTGCAGGAGAGGAAGGTGGGGTAGGGAGGAAGGCAAACATTCCACTGACCTGTTCCCTGTGGGGCAGCAGCAGGCAAAGGGCTCTGTGCAGATCAACGGCGCTTCCTGGTCCCTCTTGCTCCTTTGGGATCCGTGTCCTAAAGCGGCTCCTGCCAGGTCAGGGACATGAAGGAGAAAGTGCCCAGGTCACCAGGAGCTCCCCATTCCCATCCCTCTGGCTCCTCTCTGTGTCCTGTCCTGGTGTTGTTTCCCACGGCTTGGTGGAGTCATGGGGGGAGTGGGGGAATCGAAAATTGCAACTTTGCCGACTTCAGAAATTCAGTTCCTCTGAGTTATTTCTGTTGGGTGTGGGGGGAGGTTTTGGTGGTTTTTTTCGTACAGCGGAAGTGGCTTTTGTCAGAAGCTCTAAATAATGATTTTTGTGATGTGCTCCTCTTTCCTGATTAGAAACACTCTTTCCCTGCAGAGTGTCCCATTCTCCAACTGCCTTCCCTTTCTAGAAAGGTTTCTACCATTCCTCGTTTCTCTTTCCTGAGGAGTCATTGTCCCTCCAGCAGCAGAGGGATGCTGGTGGTGCTGGTGGCACTGGAATGCTGCTTGCAGTGCTGCTGAGGCAGCTGGGTGCTTCTCAGAAACAACTCCTGTTCCGGGAAGGGTTCTGAGATCATTGCCAAAACATTCTCTGGTCCGAGGAAGCACAGTTGAGCTGCTGCCTCCTCCTATCCTGATCCCATCCTCATCCCTGCTCCCCATCTCCACCGACCCTCCATCCTCACCCCATCCTATCACATCCCACAGGTTTCCCAGACGGAGCTGTTTCCCCACTCTGAGCGTGGCCTGTCAGGCTCTGCTCTCCTCCATTGGCCAGATTTGGGATTGTCGACATCCAGACCCCCTTCAACCCGCTCTGAGCCTCTCCTGACACCTTCAAAACTGCCTGCAACAGCCCACACAGTCCACGGGGCCCCTGTTTGCACCCAACATCCCTGATCCTGCCCTGATGCATCTGGGACCCCTGGCAGTGTCCCTGCTCCTCCTGGCTGTAGAGTTCTAGGACCCAGGATGGAGGAGGAAAGCCCAGCTCCAATGTGCTCCTCAGGATCACACAGGATGATAAATGTGCCTGGAGCCAGTGCAGAAACTGTTTTGGAGGCCTGCAGGGGTTTTGGGGCAAGTTCTGTAATAAGAAGCAAGAGCACACGGCCAAAGGAAAAGTTTGAGGCAAGGTCACCTTTAATATCTCAGCACTCAGTGAATGCAAGCACCAGAGACCCCTCTGAATGATCCTCCAGGATCAGGAGAGGACTTGGAGAAGGAGATGGATGCCTGGGAATGGGCCTAGGAAAGTGATGTTTATGTATTAGATAAGAAAGACACTTTAATGACTATCTGTGGTTATGATAAAAAAAAAAACCCTGTTGTAAAGTCCCACCCCAAACAGAAATATGGAGAGATCCATCTGTGTGTCCTCTGCTTCCTAATGCTTCTCATTTTGTTGCAAAGTTATTCTGGCTGATTTTGGAATCACTCCCAAGTCCCATCTCCACTCCTCACACCACGCCACGCCACGCCACGCCATCCCATCCCATCCCATCCCATCCCATCCCATCCCATCCCATCCCAT